CCTCCAGGTTCTTCATCTGTGAAACAGGTCTGTTTCGAGGCAACTGTCCCTTTAAAACTGATCACTATCCAAACTCCACTAAGCCGTCTGTGAAATCTTCATGTCTCCCTCTCCTTCACTGCTGGTGTTTTCCTTGTCTTGCCTGGTCAGAATAACCTGAAGGATATTGTATTATATTTCATATCTTGTGTACCTTTTCAGTCGGTTAATTTGAAGAGGGCTGTAGGAGAAATAAGTTATGTTTATCTTGGGGTGAGGAGCTGAAAATGCCCCGAGGTGCATTTTGCGTTGCTGAGCTATTGGGGGCAGGGGGTTTAATTTTTTTTTTATACTTGTGAACAATCTTATGCATGAGTGTTTTTTTTCCCATAGTAACTTATTTAAAATCTTATTTAAAAACCCTTAAGCACTTGACATTTAATGTGCTGGTGTTTTTTTTTAGGCCGGTGCTACTTCTAAATAGACCCTTGGCATTAGGCCATGACATGATTTGGAAATGAACTTAATTTGGTTTAGTGATATTTAAGTGCTATTAAGCCATATATGTATTAAATCATAGGCTTCTTTTATTAAGTTATCTGGTAGGAATTTGTTCATTAATTCATTAAATTGTTACTGATCGTTACCTGTTAGTTTTAATCAGCTGTTTGGTTTGGTTAACCTCTACTGAAGCCATATCAGTAAATTGGGGATTGCTGATCTTGAGGAATCCAGTTAGCAATGCTAGATTTTCATAAAGGTGAAAGCCTTTTTTGGGGACTGGTAACGTTTGAGTCCCACCTTTATTTCAAGGGTGTCGGTATTCTTTATTTTTTATTGTACAGTAGTTAATGGTAGTGTATGCCACGGGGCTTGGATTCTCATCTTTTCTTTGAATCTGTGAAGAGATTTATTTTTGTTCCAGCTTGCATAAAACACCTTTCAATCAAGCTTTTTTTCCCTCTTTCCCCGGAAATGTGAAGGTGTGCGCTTTTGTCCGCTCTTTGTTCTCCGTCCCACATACTGCTGCACGGCAGTACATTGGCGTCCCGTGACCTTTCTCTCCCGTAGAGAGCCACAGGACGGATGGCGGGCTGGCGTGCATCTGTGCAGCCGGTTGTATCCTGGTAGGGAACTGCTCTTCCCCGCCCTGGGCACAGCACTTCCGCTCCGGCGTAAGATTGTTCACAAGTCTGGGGAGGGAAGCCGGGTGCGGGGTTTATCACCTGTCTCTGGCTGACAGATCACATGCACTCCTTCCTCCCGAGCACTCTGGCTTCTCTTCCTCCTCTGTGTTTTAATTTTGCTTGATTTTTTTTTTTTGTTTTTGTTTTAATCCCTTGTTGTCTGAATCCCTGTCTTTTCCGGTTGTTTCTGTAAAGCTGCGTGGAGAGGCTGTGCTCCGAGTGGTGTGTTGTGTGAGTGAATGTCCCGTTTCTCTCCACGTGTGTCGGCCCCTCACACCTCAGGTTATTCTGAATAGGAATTACCAAAACAAACCGTTCAATTAACAGGAAGGAAAAACGAACTTCGGAAGGGTGGGGTAGGGGGGGGAAAAGGGACAAAAGGAAAAACAAATAAATGTTTTTATTAACAAAGTACGTCTCCTTGTTTTCTTTTCAGAATTCCTTATTTTGGCATGCTGCGTGTTCTAGTTTCTCGGCTTTTACAGACCGTTTTTTTGTGTTTGTTCTGCTGAGATTTTGTTTGCATTTACACCAGGAGTGCAAGATGTAGAAAGCACTGCATTCTGGGAAGGCACCTGGTGTGAACGGTTGTAAGTGTTGTGTAGTTTTCACAGAGTAAAACAGGCCTTTGTTAGAGCCAGCTTAAGCTACACCGCAGCTTCTACAATGTTCATGACTTACATGACTTGATGACTAACTTTTCAGGCCGGTAGACTTACAAAAAAACCCCATGAAAAATGAGACCTCTAATTATACTCACCTGTACACAGGCATATAATAGTTTTTGTAAGTACTCTGGGTTGTAATTGCAGCTACCTGCTGTGTAGTAGTGAGGAGCTGCTCTGAACAGACAGTTTTGCCTAGACCGGTTTACTTGAACAAGGACTGAGAGGGTTATGCATTAATATAACTTCTATCTGATTTTTCCAGTTATTAATGGAACTAAGCTCACCTTGACAGTATTGATCAGTCATTAGAAAACCTCGTATAAATCTTTAAATAACCAGGGTTTCATAGAGGTTGTGGAAATATGGGGAAAGTAAAAAGACGTGCAGGGCTGATCATGCTCTGCCTTCTAACCCATTAGCCTAGTGTCGTTGAAGGAATAGTGTGTTCCTGCTCTTGTAGTATGCCCACTTGTTGGCTTAATTAGCTGATAGGGGACTTAGCCATTGATTGATTTTAGCCAGTGGCCATATCACCCTGCAACTCACCACTGGCAACCCACCGAAGCTCAGCAGTTGTGAGCCTGGCCAGTACCTGGATGAGAGACCTCCTGGGAGAAACGAAGGTTGCTGCTAGAAGAGGTGTTAGTGGGCCCAGCAGGGGGCGCTCACCCTGCGGTCTGTCGGTCCTAGTGCCCCAGTATAGTGACGGGGACACTATACTGTAAACAGGTGCCGTCCTTCGGATGGGACTTGAACCGAGCTCCTGACTCTTGGTCATTAAAAATCCCAGGGTGTTTCTTTAAAAGAGTAGGGGTATTATCCTGGCGCCCTGACCAATCCTAAATAAATATCCTTATTTTTAATCCTGACCAAATTTCCCATTGGCCCTTACTAATCATGGCCTCCTAATAATCCCCATCGCTTAACTGGCTCCATCACTGTTCTCCCTGCTGAGAGCTGGTGTGAGTTGAGTGTTCTGGAAATTTGGCCAGGATGGCTGCCATTGCATCATCCAGATGGGGCTGCACACTGGTGGTGGAGGGGATCCCCATTACCTGTAAAACACTATGAGTGGAGTGTCCAGAAAAGCGCTATATAGGTGTAAGCAATTATTATTGATTGAAGTTGCCAATGGGACTTTTGGGGCTCTCTGGGATCGAAGTTGGAGATGATGGTATAAGAACCTATCCTGCTAAGGCTTCCATGTTTTGTACAGAATGTGCTTCTCTGGAATGGGGACTTTGTCTGAAAAGGCAGAGCAAACGCCTTCACCTCCGGAGACCCTGCTGCTTTGTGTGCACTGCTGGGAATGTGAGTTCTGCCTGTCCTTAGTGAACCCAAGCACTGCCTGACTGAGCTATCTCGTGAGGTGTAGATAGTCTGTGTTAGGAGGGGGGTAATCCACAGGGATGTTGTAATGGAATGTAGCCACTAAAACCGAAAGTGTGAGATTTGAAACCATCGGAGACTGCAGTCCTGTTTATTGGGAGGGTGGGAATATCCCCGTGTCGGAAACTCCGGGCGCTGTGTGCGGCTGTTCCTCTGTAGTTGTTATGTGATGGTCTCCGATGTCATGCTCCTCTTTGCAGGGCTGCTGTCACGTGTTTCTGGGCTGTGCTGTAGCAGTCTGTGCCTACTCTATCCCAAGTTGTAATAGGTTCTATAAATACCCTGGTTTTTACTCTTTTCGTCCTTTAGTAGTTCAAAGGTTTCAGACCTGCCAAGGGCCTCTCTTGATACCGTCTTTTGTTACAGTTAGACTCTGCAGGACTTAATAGGACTGACTACGCCCTTGACTAGTACTGTTGGAACGTGTTTTTGGGGTTGTTGCTCACTGATCTTTGAAAACTGCCTTTATAAACTGTGGGGCTGTAGCCTATAGGCGTGTTCTGTTCAGAAATGTGACTATAGCATTATGGAACAGGGCTTTCAAGCCCAGTCTTCCCCCATTGCTGTGAATTAGGTCACATTTAAAACAATTTCAGTGCACA